TATGAGAAACCAACAGTAGTCACCCATCATACCGACATCCCAGAAACCTTGGTATCGATTCTCAATTAATTTCATTTGCTGGTGAAACCTTTCGCCATGCTCGTCACTTTCGTCTCCGAGATTTGCCGGAAAAAAACTTAAATGGGAATGCAGAAAATGAATTTTTAAAGACATATTTACGCCTGGAGAAAAAAGAAAAGGTACATAAGTAAATTATAAAATTTTATATAATTCAATTAAATAAGTTTTGAATAATCACCCATTTCTGCATAATTCTTGATTAAGTCACTTAATATCTTCTCGTTGTTTGGACTTTTGTGTTTACCAAGAAAAGAAGAAACGACCATTTCGAAGGAATCCCACGCTGCTGCCTCAACTGGTGACAATAGTCCTTTGAATTGGTCATTATTTATCAACTTTTTTATTTGKGGTCCAACAAATATACCTTCTCTTATCTTGGCCTGAGAAATATTTTGGGAAAAAATTTTACAAATAATTGAATGCTTTGCCTTCTTTGTCCAACGCCTTTAATGAGGCCGAGCTTGATGTGCAATGGCGGAAGAACGATTTTTTCCTTCTTTACAAGTGGGACGTATTTGATATTATCCACACCAATTGTAAATTCAACTCTTTCCGGCCAATCTTTAATATAATAGTGGTCTTTACGAGCTCGGCTATCCCAATTGCAGAGAAAGCAGCAGTGTTTTGTGTAGTCACTTTGTAGACCGCATAACATTCCAACGACTTTAAGATCGGCACATATTTTCCAATCATGCTTTTCATATTTGATGAATTTTAACAATTTCTTCATTATCTCGTATGTTTCCTTCGTGTTTACTGCAAGCGCGATCGGGATCGAGGGCTTTTTGTTGCCATTATGCAGTAATACGGCCTTCAAGTTCAGTTTAATGCTGTCTATGAACCTCGGAATCCTCGGAATCATATGGTTGACAAAACTCTTTGAACAATCCTGGAATGTCTTTGCAATAGCATACATTGTCTTCCTTCGTATAGTGTTTGGCAAATGGTTCGTAACGATTTCTATAATATGTCACCTTAACATGGGATGACACGAATTAAAATTGTTGCATACTACGAGACATATAGCTCAGCTTTTTCCTTGAATAACTCCAAATCTCTAATCCAATCGTTTAGTTGCACTTGTGAGAGAACGTTTCTCTCGTTTTCCATTAAAAATTCATTACAACTTGATTTCCCATATTCAGAAGATACGCAACTTCAGCTGAATGTGGAACTGGCAATGAAACGGTAGGTACATTAGCATAAATCACTTTTCTTGATTTTCCAAAGCCAAGTACTTTTGTCATACAAATATAACAATCTTCTGAGTGGCATGTAGGTTCTCGCCATACCATTGGTACATTAAATTTCATGTATCGCCTGAAAAAGAAAAAATTTAAAAATTACTATTAAATAAAAAGAAGCATAGTTTCAAATTTTTAAAACGTACTTTGTTGGTCCTGATTCCCATTGAACCAATATTATTCGACACAAGGAACACAAAATATTCGAAGTCCATAGTTTATCAATATTTTTAGGCTCAATACCAAAATATTTTGAATATATAGATTGGATCGAATCTCTAAACTGCGTCCGATGCCGTACAAGAGCATATTCACCGCATATGTAACAGAACATATCCGGGTCGTTGGCACACTCAAATTCTCGCGTACGTTTATTTTTATTTTTAAAAATAGCTCACGGTTTCTTATATTGTAATTATAAACTGGAACCGGCGAGCCTTACAGATATTATGAACTTTTAAGGGGCATTTATCCTTATATATAGCTTGATCGCGAAAAAATAAAAAAAGGCAAAACCTACCTAACAAAAAAGTTTCTTCAAATTAACGAGCCGGGAAAAGAAAATACTAGCTGCTGTTGATGTTGGCCTTAAAAAAATTAATGAATTTACCAAGATATGTGTGTGTGCATGTAGGTATGCATGTTTGAATTAAATTTATTTGCATTAGGAATTTTCCG